CCGAGCAGCTCACACCAAATCACTGCAGAAATATGTGGAAATACTGGATCAGAGATAAAAGATCTGAATCAGTTTGGATTGGAAAGGGCGTGAGAGCACAAAAAATCCTCTTAGATACAGAACAACACGAGTGTGTGAGAGAAGTCCGTCCTCACGGCTCTCATAAGCACTGAGAGGGTAAGTAGCCGCGAGAGCTGCTAGTGATGATTAACTGATCGTCGTGTGAGCTTCTCTACAGACGTTTTGGCGGTTCGCTGGTCTGAATGGTTCAGGTGTGTTAACACAACCTTTCCAGGAGTCGTCACAGCAGGTTCAGCCCTCTGCAGCCGTCCAATCAGAGTGCAGAGCTCAGAGCACGAACGAATGCCGCAAACCTCAAAGAGCTGAAGCTGTGACCGTCTGCTTCTCTCTCTGTGTGACCTCACAGCAGCCATGTTATTGGTCAGGTAGTGTCACTAAAAATGCAGCACAAACCTCTGCACACACGCAGAGGTCAGTTTGTCTGGAGCAGCTCACAACCATGATCGCCTGAAGCTGTCACCTCCCACCTGTCAGTCAGACCTTCACACAGGTGCGTTACAGCCGCCTCCCCCGTACAGGTGTGATGAAGGGGAAATGACTGAGTCTGTGGGGACTCGCTGCTGGAGCTGCAGCACACAGACGTCTGTGACTGTTCCTGTGTTTGAAAGCTGCTGCAGAAACAACATTATTATTGATGCAACAGCACAAATGAAATCTGCTTTAAAATAAAATCCCAGAAGAAGCAGACGCTCGTTCCTGCAGCCGGACTTCCACAGAGAGAGGACGAGGCTTTAACGTTCCTCCCTGAAATCAGGACTTTCCCCACATTCCAGCAGCCTGCGTGACTAAACAGTCCCGGCTGTGATTTTGTGGAGACGGGAAGCTGGGAGCACTTACTGTGTCAGCGAGCAGCCGTCCATCCCTCAGAGCGCCGCTTTGAGTCTGAGCAGGTCGGGGTCTCCTCGTGTGGAGCCTCCTCGCTGCATCGTCCTCACTGCAGGAATAAACGGGGGGAACGTGGCTATCAATAGAAGAAGAGGTCCCCCACCGCCGCCACACCCACCCCTCCATACCACCTCCTACCCGAGGAGGAAGCAGAGGTTTAACTCTTTCCTTCCTTCAGCTGCTCTCCTGTCCGTCAGCTCTGCAGCATTGACAGCACAGCCACTCCCACATCTGTCTTTAAAACACAGCCTAACATCTGGAATCTGCTGCTGGTTTTCTTTCTCTGACTTGTTGACTCTAAAAAGGCGTCACCTTCTCACACCTGTGACCGACACACCTGTGCAGAGCCTGTTTGGACAGGTGTGTTTGTCCAGCCACAGATGAGCATGAAACAGCACTGCCAGGATCGAGGGTGAACACGTAGCTTCCAGGTCTGAAGAGGCCGTTGGAAAGTGTGACTAATAACAACAATACTCAAGTGAAAAATAATGATGATGAAGAAACCTGATGGTTACCATTACTTACTGGGACTCCTCCAGAGGACCTCCGCCCCGGAGTGAACGCTGCTCCACAGCCTGAACATCCAGGCTCGTGTTTCTGCTCTGCACAGAGGACGCCTCCGTGCTGCAGCTGCAAACTCGTGTTCACATCTGGGACCAATCAGCTGAACTTTGTTTACCGTCTGAGCAGACTCGCGTCCACGCTCGTCCGAACATGACCACAGGGCCTCAAACTCAGTCACGTATTCAACTTATTAACTAAAGGAATGCGATGTGCTTGCACGCCATATTTCTTCCGTATGTCACATAATCCTAAATGCTAATGTGGGTGAATCAGCAAAGCAAAGATAACGACCCGTGCATCACGGGTGCAGCGAGCTGTGGATGCACGTTTCATTCAGTTTCAACACTGATTTTATTTCACATTCACCAACGTTACATTTT